ATTAATTTGCATTCATATCAATGTGTTCATTGTCAGCAGATGGTCTTATGTACTATATCCTTTGCGGAAGCCAGCCTGTTCAACCGGTTGGTAATTGTCCATTTTGTAGGTCAACCGGTTGTTAATAATTCTCATAAATAGTTTGTATACTTGACTGAGCAACGATATAGGTCTATAATTCTGTAGATCACATTTGTCCCATTTTTTGAGTAAGAGTACTACTAGACTCTCGTTCCAGTCTTTAGGGATCTTGCTATTATGAAGACATCTATTAAATAGAGTACAGGGATTGTTAACGTCTTGCTTGTTTTCAAGAGCTCGGCAATTTTGGCAACATAATTTATACCCAGGGTTAAATATATCATTCCATTTTATACGAAGCATGTCCACAAAAGTTTTGATAGGATTCAACTTGTCCTCATTTTCAATATTTTATACGGAAAAAGTACTTAGAAAAGCAGCAAAATATAACAATATTTGAAAACCAGAATTTACGATCAGTGTATCCTCCCTATACTCACGTATGGCTCACAGACGTGGACACTCACCAAGTCTAATATGGATAAAATAGTAAAGGCACAAAGAGTGATGGAACGATCAATTCTCGGAGTGGGACTTATAGACAAAAAAACAAACAAATGGATTAGAAGCAAAACCAAAGTAAAAGACGCAGGAGAACATGCTGCTAAATTAAAATGGAGCTTCGCAGGACAAAATGCCCAACTGAAGGATAAAAGATGGAACCACAAAATACAACACTGAAGACCATGGTTAGGAAAGAGAAGCAGAGGAAAATCACAAATGAGATGGGCTGATGACATTAAGAAGATCGGAGTACACAACTGGAAGCAAATGGCGCAAAATTTGGGGAGGCCTATGTCCAAAGTTGGAGTACTTAAGGCTGGAGAAGAAATAGATACGGAAAATGTTAAAGCTTACAAAATTTCTTCAAACCTTTGGTAATCAATGTCAAATCTTTTGCCAAAGGCTGAAGCAGGGTATAGTTCCTCATATTTCAAAGATCGGTATTCTCTTCTGCTACGTAGTATATTAGTACCTACTCGTAGGTATCGTAAATCATCCGATCATTTTGAAAATTCACTTTTGGTAAATTGCTTTTTGGTTGAATCTAATTTTTTATTTGTCGCTTCGAATATTTCGGACATATTTTCTATAGGACAAAATAACAAAAAAAAATCTGTCCGCATTTACTTTGTTACTGTCAAAAATATTGTTACCTTGGGTCACATGTTTACCGTATCAACGTCACTTGAACTATCAACTTGTCACTATCGCTTGATGAAGATGATAAAACTTCCTGATAAATTATGCTACACTCATCATGTTCAGAAGTATTTGGCACATCGTTGTTTATTGATTTTGTTGTACTATGTTTAGGGTCGTCTATTTATTTTAATTTATCTTTCTGATCTACAACGATGTACAAAAAAAGTTAATAATTAAGCTAATCCAATGAAATTTTAGAATCATGTTACTTAACTTTATTCTTCTTTAACGACTTTAGTTTAATTGGCATTTCACTGTTATCCATACCCATAAAAAATTTGCAGTGTCATCTAAAATAGACATTATAATGCCATGACATACTGCAGAATTGAATTTCAGTCCAAAAATAGCAATACTCCATGAGTTATTGCTATTCTTTTTATCAAATAACGTGGCTTTGACAAAAACACGGACAACAATCTATTCATGTTTCCGCTAAAAGTCGCATCCATCAAAAGCGACGGAACAAAATATAAATAACAAAATTGAATAACTACAAAATATATAAAATGTTTAAAGATCTAAGGTATTTAATTATATTTATTATCATCGGAACACTCCTGATCTAGAGCTTCTGCTAGAGAGTTCGAGCTATTGTAACGTTGTCTTTCTTGATCATATTGACCACAATTTATTAAAAAGTATTCAACTGTTAAACGAACGTTACACTGATCACATAGGGATGGGTTATTATTTGTGAAAAGGTAAGAGTGTGTTAACTTGGTATGTCCTAGACGTAGACGCGCAAGCACAATTTGTTCACGCCTGCTAAGCGACGATGGAATACACTATGAAACATTACTCTTGATCTTTTTCAGCTTAGAAATTGTTTGAGACCACTCATTTCGCCACAAACTCAACACTTTATTTTTAAAATAAGCTTTTAAGTCACTAGAAACATACTTGTCTATAGGCTCCTAATAATCGCTTAAAATTGCCTGTCGTGAAGTCCTGTCAGCTTCTTCGTTTCCCGTTATTCCGACGTGTGAGGTTACCCACAAAAATTGAACTCTTCTTCTATGTTGATGAGCTTAGGACAGCTGGTATTTTAGTAACTTTTCAAAAGGTTGTTTTAGAAAAATATGTTTTAATGAATTTAGTGAGCTAAGGGAATCTGTTATGATCAGGGATTTTGTGAAGGTGAGCTCGTTAAAATATTTCACAGCACGGTATATAGCGTAGAGCTCGGCTGAATATGTACTACATACTGGTGGTAGACGCAAAAGAAGATTGTTTTCTAAGGAAACGATTGATGCCCCACTCCGTCTTCGGACTTGGATGCATCTGTATAGATTTTATAGAAGTCGGGGTCCGCTAAACTAATACGCTTACTTTAGGTGTGGCTTTGATAGATGTGTACCCCTGCTCTAAAATACATCAACTACCATAACTTAAATAATTTATTGACTAATTCATTGACTTCATATATTTCCCATTCAATCTGTCACAATGTATATAGTAAACAAATCGAAGAGTCCAATCCGGCGTTCAGGCACATACATGACGTTCTCGTCTTTTCAGAAATTACAAAACCAGACTTCGTTATACTGTTTTTTTCTTCGAGCTCTGCATAAGCCTTGGAGGAAAAAGTAGCAATCAATTGTTCTTGAAGAATAGGATCTCACAACGGTTAACGTGTGCCATATGTTCTCATAGCTTGCTCTTTCGGCACAGGATCTCTTGGTCACTACTAGGTAAAGCAACGATAGGCGGCCATCTTCTAACGCAGCACTTTGCCAACTCTAGGCTGCTCATTTTTTTAACTCGTCCAATCGATCGAACTTGTTAGATACTGAAGATGTTTCCTTGGTCCGGTTGAGGTCTTGGTTGACACAATGAGCTATGGTGGCATCTTCTGGAACGATAAAAAGATCTTTTTGTATATCAATGATCGCATCATATCCGGTCTTTCTTCTATCTGCATAATTTGACATAAATTCGTTGAAACTCGGTCGGCAACTATCCAGGTTTTTATTTTTGGAGGGTTTTAGGCTTTAGGTAGAAGCCTCCTAGTATGAAATTGCTATGATCCAGTTCATTTTGTAAAATAATTCATTGCCACCAGGATATATTTATTTCCAGCATCCGTTTCTGAGAACGGCCCTGTAATATCAATGTATACTCTCTTCATAGGGCTGCCAACATTGTAATGTTGTATAAATGCCCTCTTTTTACCAATTAGACTATTACCTAGTACACAAAATTCTCTTTTTAGATACCATCTTTTTACATCTTGTTTGCAGTTTAGCTTAGATTCCGTACACTCTTCATTTTCAAGGGTTCTACATAGAAGATTATATTTCAATACCAAGCAATTCCACTGGCTCCAATAGGTTTTAATTTCTGGAATACATGTCTTATATCCTTCCAGGTTGGTCTTTGATCTTTACGTTCAATCCAAGACCTTTCAGACGTGGATCATTTACCTAGGCATCTTGTAGCTGTTGAGGTTACCATTGATCAATTATGACGATAGTACATCGCACGTGGTAAAGTTGTTCCTCTAATTTTGAACAGCTGCTACAATTCGCGACACATGGCCTTCTTAAAAGGACATGGTTATCTGAATGGATGTTTCAAGGGATTTGTCTGTCTAGATTATGAAATTGCAGACTTAATTTTAGACCTTGCAGGTATTTATGAAAATATTTATAAGCCTTCACCACACCTAGTTCTCTTCTGGCAACTCAGTAGTTTCTTCCTGTGTAATTTTTCTTCTTGTCTTGGTTAGCTTAATATAAGTGAACTGATAAGTGCTCCAGCTATTATACCAGTATTGGATACAATATGAACTATCTAGTTTCTCGTCGAAACATGGGATTCAATTACTTAGTTGTTACTCAGTTAGAAACTTATTTGGACTCAGTTTTAAATTAGCTGCATAAAATCGTTGGAACATTTTCCCCAGATTCTTGTAATGTTCGTGAAATTATATTCCAACCAAAATTGCGTCATTCAAATAAATCAAACAATGTGTATTCCATGCATCGTCTATTTGAGGCAAGAGGTAACCATCTTTTTTTGTTATCGAATTCAGCTGGCGGTAGTCAATACAAAAACGTGTCCGACCGTTTTTCTTCTTTACCAGGACTACCGGTGAGGTCCACGGACTGCGAAGCCTCCGGTAGTGCGAAATTCTGAATTGTTATCTAATAACTTTACTTTAGCTTTTGCTTTTCTGTATATATCTATTAGCTAGATCTTTATGTATCCTGTGTCAATACCTACACTGTAAAAAATTGTAGTAAACCTAGAAATTTAAATAGAGTAAGAAATTGTAACCCTAAGATACATTTAACCTAATGAAATTGTATGCATTACCAACGCTAAAATTTCATCCCAAATTACAGTAGTGCCAGTAAAATTGCCCATGCCAATTTACTTTTACAAATTTTTTAGTTAATAATTTAATTTTGTATATGTACAGTTTCTTGTTACCACTTTAATATTATTATAAAGGTCATTTATGTACTGGAAGAGGGTAAATCTGCTAAAAAAATTTTACACTGTATGTTTTTAAGAGCTTCAATTACTCTGTTGGAATATATAGAGTCAAAAGCTCTCTCGAAGTATAGCAAGGTTATAATTAATTTTATTAAAGATAACAAAATATTTTGTTATAATTAATTTTATTATATCAAATTATTTTCAAAGCATTATGTTACAAATTTAATAGCGATTATTTAACTAATCATATTTTTTTTCGTTTTTAGATAATCCAAAGTCACTCAGGAATGAAAGAAGCCTAATATTTAATACTCAAGTCAACTTAACCACTTACAGGGAAAAGGATTTAAAAGAATTTCAAACTTCTAATAGTGATAAAAAACACGAACGTAGTAAGCAAAAGCAATCAATAAAAAAATCGAAAAGTATATTCGAACAAATAAATAAATTATACGCAAGGTCTAGTCAAGATTATAATTTTGATAATACTGTGAGAGAAGAATCTTCTAACCAAAATTTTTGTGTTACACTAGCGAAGCAAATAAGTCTTCGGATTGAATTGGACCGTAAAACAATAGGTGTTTGTAAATCAAGAATATTGACAGAAATTAAAAAAATTGACAGCATACTTTCAGGTAAAATAAAAATGAACAATACTCCTGCTGAATCCAAATGTACATATTATTATCCACAAGAAAATACCTGTGATATAAACTTTTCCTTATATAATAAATCAGAATGGGTGTTTGAAACACCCCCCAGACAAAGAATTCCTGCTATGTCGATTGAAGAATCTGAATTACAACCAGCAGTTTTGTGCACTACAAAAAAGGAAAAACAGCTTTTTGAATGGAAGAAAAAATTGCAAGTAAAAACTACGGATTTTAATGGTAAGGAAAATATTCCTATCAACAACTATATGGATAATGTAGCTACTACATTCAATTACGATGGAAATATGCAGTCACCTAACTTCAGTAAAGCATTTGCCAGCGCTTGTAATTCTAATTCAAACCAACCAGTCAGAAATACGGTAAGTTTAATTAAATGAAAATATTGTATTCTTACTCAAGTAAACTGATTATTGCAGTTTAACTGATTATTGCAGAGGTAATGGACTTTGACAAGACCTATGAATCATATCGACGCAGTACACAATGTTTTACGTTTGAAATAATTTCTAGATTGTCCTTCGTTCAGGTTGTTTTAACTGCAAATGTTAATAGTGCAGTAAATGTTGTTTCACTTTTACTTAGTTTTATCGTAATTTCGAGTTATTAGTATTAGTATATTTTGTAGACAATAACTTATAATAATATTTTGTGCAGACAGTGGATAATTTACTTGACAGTAAGGTAAATATGGATTTATTTTATTAATTATTTTCAATAAATTGAAAGTTTCAATTATGACATATTGTAAACTTTAATAATAAAGGCGTGTGCTCTTTTTACTAAGAGACATATAAACATAGAGTATCTGTGTTGGAGAAGATGTTCTATTAGCAGCTTGATCCGAGATCATACTACCTATGGTTGCTAAACTAGAACCAGACCTACCGACTACTATTCTGAGAATCTTCGAACCAGCTGTCCAACATCTCTCTAAAGGCATCCTTCCAGCAAGAAGTCTAGTTCGTTCTAGAATGTTCAGTAGCTCGTTCCCTAACCGAATAATGACTATCCACGACTACGATGTTCGATTAAAGAAAGGAATTTTAATGAGAAATCTCAAGAGTGCCACTACTATCATAAATTGTATTGTGCAACCACAAAAATCCCCAATGGCTTCAAAACTAACAGCAGCGCTTTAACTCCTATACCAGAAGTCTAGTGAGCACCTCGACAAAAATCAGGACAGACTTTACAAGCTGTTGCAAGCTTCTGAAGTTGTGTTCTCCTTGTCATCAATGTTTATTGGCGAACGAAGGTAACCCAACATCGAATAAATTCTGGAAATGCCGCTTCCATCAAACAAGCTTCTAAAAGAGTCCCATTTGCAAAACAAGAAGTTGAGAAAATTTTAAAGGAAACGCAGGAACAAAATGTAATAAAACCATCTCAAAGTCCAGGAATGTTGCCTCGGTGGAAAAACAAATGATAGCTCTACTAGATTCTGTGAGATTCAATGATGTCACGGTCAAGGATAGTTATCTATCGCCACGTAGAATTATTTGATGACACCTTGGATGGTGTAACTGGAGCAAATGGTTTTCAACATTAGATTTGACAAGTGAATATTGGCAAGTAGAAATGGATCCAGCAGACAAAGCCAAGACAGCGTTTCCGACTGGCCAAGGTTCTTTTGCAAAACACCGATGGAACAGAACTAGTTATTGGATACTTTGGTAAAGTCCTCTCCAAAGCTGAAAGAAATTATTGAGCCACAAGAAGAGAATTACTTGATATGGTGAAAACACTGGAACTCGTGCATAAATTCTTATATGGACAAAATTTTCTTATTCGGATCGATCATACCTATCTTCCAGTTAAGAACCCTAAAGGCCAGGTTGCCAGGTTGACAGGCTGGAAAAATTGCAGATATATGATTTTAACATTGAACCTCGTAAAGGTACTCAACATCATAATGCAGATACCCGGAGTAGACAACCTTTTCTGGAAGACTGCAACCACTTCCCCAAAGTTGAGGCAATGGGACCATTAGTTATAGCCATTCGTATAAGGTTCCATATTTGGCGAGGAGACCATTGGAGTTCCACATCCTTCGTGCTGAACAACTTGCAGATAGTGATATCGTTATTACGATGGAAAGAGGTACTGGTCGACCAACTTAGAGTGAGATTTCCGACATATATACTGAAAAGTTATTGGGCGAAATGGGATTCGTTGGAATTAGTGGATGGTGTTTGACACAGGAAATGGAAAATGGGATGCATGAATAATTATTACTTGTGCAGAAATTTTTTGTTTACATGTACAAAAATACTTTTGTAAATACTACATCGCAGTGTTTTTTCGAAAAAATTCGGATAAAACTTATCGTCTAGTTGGATGGTATCAACTGGTACCCCCTCTAGATTTCCTCTAATATTCTTCTTCTTGATGTGCCTATCCGTGACGAATGTTGGCTATCATTATGACAATCTTTGTCTTTAAAAGGTTCTGAGGATCTTTAACCAAGATGTTCTTCTTGGACTTCGCTTTCCAAATATTTTTACTTGCAGGATGGTTTGTAGGAAGGCATATCTCATATCGCATAATCTGTCGGAAGTACTGTAACTTTCGAGATCTGATGGTGGTCAATACCTCTCGGTTCTTTTTCATTCTTCTAAGCACCTTCTTATTTGTGATTCGCAGTCTGCGGGATCTTAAGTATCCTTTTGTATAGCCACATCTCACATGATTCAAATCTTCTGCACATATCGCCTTTCAAGGTCCACGATTCAACACCATAAAAAAGGACATAGAAGACGTAGCATCGCAGTTAAAAAAAATTAAATTGTTTGTCCTTGTGTCGTGTTGTGTTAATGTATAATTTTTTTATTGTTAATGTCATTCTCAGTATATTGTTGGATATGCCAAATTTGACGAAATGCCCCTGAAGATGCTATGGGAGCAAAAGTACTTGGACCAGCTTTAATAAATAAACTGTGCTCGATATCTGCCTTTTATTGATTAAAAAATTTTTAAAAAGTTTAGTCAGCACATGTAAACTGTCTCGTTTACTAACTTTAATAGTTCAACTGACATATTTTTTATACCGGGATCCTTCCCGTTTTTCATATTATTGAGCGCATATAGTATCTCTTTATTTATTATCGTTATTCCGCTGTCTGGTTCTTTTGATATTGTTGGCCTGAGTCTTTCATCTTGAAAGCAGCCTTCTGTATATTCTTTCCATTTTTGTATGTTTCGTTGACTGTTGTTATCTACCCGTTGCTGCCAATTAGTTAATTTCTGTACCTGCGTCTGTAGCTTCTGATCATAGGGACAATAAATAACAATAACACTAGCAATAGTTCAAATATTAAGGTGGCTCGGGCATGTAGCTAGATACCAAAGGTAAGAATGCCTAAAGATCTCACGAAGAAAAGGTATTGAGTCGGTAAAAGAAGACTTAATATATAAGAAATTTCTAAAAATTAAAGGTAGAAAAAAGGGTGGAAGAAAGCCATGGATCTCTATAGCCATTTGATCAATGTCTTATCTACTTAATGTCTAAAGTATTCACATCAGAATTTGTTTAGGTCTTCTCAATACTTGATTAGATATTTTAAATGACTGCTCTATATATTGCTCATCTACCTTCATATCCATATATTTCATTTGTACCTTGTTTATGTCCAATCAACTGTCTGGCCTCCATCTTGAGTCTATTACAAGATTCTCTTAATTCAACTAGTCTTCGCTGAAAGACAAGATTCTTCGCATATGCTACACATTGATGTCAGAAATATGACTTATCATAACATTGTCGTGTTGTGATAAGTCACAACATTGCTTTTGGTTTCACTTACATTTAGTGTTCGTAAAAAAATTATTCAAGTGGTTTATAAACTTTATATTTTCCTTTAATATTGAATTAATTTCATGTTTGATTCAGATTGATATATCTGTTTGATCTTTTATTCTTCGTTCAATTCGTCTCTAATCGCAGTCACTTGCTTGTTTAACGTGGCTTGAATCCCTTTTATATTGAAATCTTTTAGCATATGTATATCGTATGATCTTGGTTTCCTTTTCTGCATTCTTTTGTATTTTACCCGGAATACTCTCACCAGTGGAACGTGGTCCGTCTCCAAGTCTGCTCCCGGATAAATCTTGACAGATGTGAAGCTGTTTCGAACACTTCTATTTACTAAAATATAATCTATTTGATTTGGAAATCTTGAGGAGATGAGGAGGACTATACAACATTCGAGGTGGTATTTCTCTAGAATGTGTTGGTGATAATTAGTTCTGAGTCCTCTGCGAATTTTTCTAGTAGGTCTCCTATCTCGTTTCTAACTTTAAGCCCATGTGGTCCGATGTACTGTATCTCCAGCTCCAAGCTTGGCATTAAAATCTCCCATGATGAAGACCACTTCCTGTTGTGGAATTTTCTGTATGATTGTGTTTGTTCATTTTTTGATAAAAAACTCAATTCATCCTATTTGTCTGCAGTGGGAGCATAAACTGGGGTGATGTTTATATTGATAGGGTTAACTTGTACTTGTAGTAATATCACTCTCTCTATGTCATATTGCTGTAAAGTTCGTAAAGCATGGTAATACGATTTCTCCGAGTCCATATTAACATGATCCATCACTTTTTTCCGAGTGATCTTAAAATTGTGTTTCTCCAGAATCTCGCAATCTCATGTATGCCAAGATAATCCTTCTTAATTTCATCCTTATTTGGCACTCCTCACACCTCATCTAAGCATTCTCATTTTTGTCATATGTATTCGTCGTTTGTCTTTATTTTAACTGCCCAACATTCAGTTCCGTACATCATAGCTGGCCTTATGGCAGTTTTATTATGGCCTTTTAGCTGGCCTTATAGCAGAATTTTCCCTTCAGCTTTATTGGAATTTTTTTTTTCGCACAACGCACCATTCACTTCTTTCCACTTTATCCATCGAACCCTAATTCTGTCGCATGCATCTGGATCTATTTTCCCATTACTCTGTAATAACCTAATTGTAATTTAAAAAGGCCTGTAATTAGAAAATGATCTTTTTATAAATATATTAACAAATTTAATCGGCTATCAAGGGTTATAAGTCTCATAAAGGTAAAATCAATTTCTGTGCACACTTATACTTTGAATAAACGAGTGTCGACTTTGTCGAAAACTTTCCCTACTGAATACCAAATTTTAATTTACTTTGTGTTTATATGTAATCCATATTATTGTCCAATTATATTAATATTATTTTACTTAATAATAAAAGTTTGTTTCTAATTTTCTTTTTTCCAGGACCATTTTATTAAACCGGCGACATTGAATAAGGGCCATCCATTAATGACTGTCTTAACAAGACCTCAGAAAAGCACCATTAAGAAAGCAATAACGTTTTCTCGAGTTAAGCGAAAATTCGATACAGCTATGGAAACTAATAATGATGAGAATTCTTTAGAAAACGGCAATCAGCGCACAAGTGCATTAGGAGCAAATCTGTTTGGACGAGTAGATAAGGAAGATTTTAAATTTCGCCCAATGGATACTGTTGTAAACGAATATCACAACTTTCCTTTCTCAGCCGCATCTAGCTTAAATAATTTGTTGACACAGAATTTTGATTTTTTACCAAAAAATAATTCGTTTAAAATGGAGAGCATGGATATGGACGAAAATGAAAACAGCTTCACTTTTGACAGTTTACAAGTAAAATCATCTGATTTTCATTTTTAGATATAGTTTTACCATTAATTTTTTAGTATTATTTATAATGAGGTTTTTACATTGATGTAAATGTTTGTGTATAAAATACACAATACAGTTGGTCCGTTTTGTATCGATTCGTTGTATTCTTTCTGTAGAACGTAAAATGGTTTTGTACGTTGTATTTTGCAAGCAGTGATGTCTAAAAGATTGGATTAATGTAGCATTGTTACTCATGCATCAATGTTTAACATAGAAAAATAATCCAAGCTGTTCCGAAATTATCTAGATCTTGCCTCTACCAGGGACAATAAGATGTAATTTGACACAAGAAAAACTTACAGATATCACTAAAAAGGAAAACGAATTAAAATACAAATTAACCTACACTCGCAACATTAAATAGTGTTGTAAAATTTACAAAATCTGATTATCGGAAATATATGTCAAGGTGGTATACAATTGTAATACAATTTGTAATACAATTTGTAAAACTTTTTGGGTGCATTATTAAAAGAATTAAGAATCCCACTAAATGATAAATTTTTCTGGTCTATATCCATTTAGCAAATTTATTCCAAACTTCCTCGAGTTTTCGATTATACCGAAATATTCTGATTCGTTTAGTTTCGTGCAAAATTGTATCTTTAACCCCGAAGAAAAAGTAGTTTTTCCTTTTCTCATTTTCTGTTATAGAACCAATCCTCTATGATATGAATATAGATCAACAGAAAAGAAAAAAATGAGTTGTTTATAAAAATTTATTGATTCACTCATGAATGTGTTTGGGTGACGTTAAACATTTCTGAAGCGATGATGCTAGTATGTGTGCTTTAATTTCGTTTTGATAGTAAAAAACATCTTTCCCTTAAATGGAATAATTTTGTAAATATACTAGATATTCTAGTATATAAAAAACTAAAATTTAGTAAATATATACACGATATACGTACTATTTACCTTTAATCTTAAGATTTTAACAATTACTTATGGTCTGAAATTCAAAATATATCGGATTATTTTTTACTTGGTTCTATGCTTAAATACTATAAAATATCAACATGGATGTCAACTTTTGGAGTTGGCTTTGGCCTTTGGCTATAAGAATATAATGTCCGGTTTATAACGTCCTACGCCTTCCGGTTCTGTCTCCATTCATGTCGAGTCTCCTAGTCGTAGATTTCTTTCTGACACTGCATTTTGGACTACATTAAGCCATGTTGTTTTCGGTCTTCCTCGTTTTTTTTTTCGCTCAGGTGACTGCCAATCCAATATTATCTTCGGTAGGCGATGGTCTCCCATTCCCTGTAGATTTCTGAACCAAATAAGCTGTTTTTGCTGTTACTTTTCTTTTTCTACGATGATGATTGTTCTGTCCATGATTTGTCTTATTCTTTTATTTGTTACTTGCGTCGTTCTCGATATACCTGCTGATCTGTGCCAAAAACCCATTTCCAGAACAAGGAGTTTTGTTCCGTTCTCTTAGTCGCCAAATTCCTCATACATAAAGTACAACACTTTTAAAAATGCTGTTTATATAGCTGTATCTTTTTCTGTTTGGAGAAAGTTTTTGACCAGAGTAGTGAGTTTAGTGCGCCTATTATTTTTTTCCTTTTATGATTCGTTCTTTGATTTCTCTTCCAGTGCATCCATCTCTTTCTATTTTGCTCCCGAATAGATATATTCGGAATATGACGAAAAATCTTTAAGTTCATCGTGTTCAGCTCTTCCTATGAACACCTATTTCGTTTTGGCTAAGTTAACAGTTAGTCCCCATCGCTCGTATTCCTGTATTAATCGCTTTGTCATGAATTGTAGATCTTTCTGGCACTGTGCGATGACTATTTGACCATCCACGAAATGAAACGTATATAGGGTTGTTTTGTTATTTAATGGTATACCCTTTCCAAAACATGATCTGCTCCATTTCTTCAGTGCCTCACTCAGGTAGATTTTGAAGAGTGTTGGAGATAGACGGCAGCCTTGCCTTAGTCCCTTATTTACCCTAAAATTCTCGGAGAACTGGTTATTAATATTTAGTTTTGATCGTTGTAGAATCGTTAAATTGCTTTCACAAATGTAATATTAATAGATGAGCTTTCCAGTACTTGCCATAGTATACAAAATGTATTGTATGCTAAGCTTTTGCCACATAAGTCCACAAATAATAGATGAGTTGGTCTATCCCTAGCCATTCTTTTTTCACTTAGTTAGGTTAAAGTGGAGATGTGATCGATGTAAGATCGTCCAGCTTGAAATCCTGCTTGCTGTTCCAGCTCAAGTGCTCCATAGTTTTCGACTAGAGTTTCTTTTGCGTACAATCTACTGAGTTTTCTGGTAACTTAGATGCAGCGGTAGTTTTTGCAGCCCGCCCCCTGCAAATTATCCCCTTTTATAACAATTTTTTGTAAAGACAATTTAGCTGACTTTACTTAGTAACAAGCAATAACTCGACACGCTACAATACACAGCCTACAAGATGCCAACTAGCTGAAGTACTATAAAATTGTATATAACAATGTATATCCCACCAGTTAAAAATTTATCTATATATTTCCATATGTATCTAACCTTTTGTAAATTATTTGGATGGTTTTATTTTTGTAATCTCTCCATAATACATTTTTTTAAACAAAAATGCAAAATGATGTAAAGCAACATAAAAAAAACTTGACTGGTTAGTCTAAGAATATCTCTATATTATTGTTCTCTATATTATTGTATATAGATAATATGATGTATGTAGAGAGGACAGTTTATTTAGTTGACGTTAGTGTAAATATTGAAAGTTTAATGAAAAATTCTGTGATTTTTTAAAACATGACCAAAGTAAAATAATTGTTAACACTGACAATATTTTGCTATCGAATTAACAATAAATTGAGAATTGTTGAATTATAGTTTCTAAGTATTAAAAAGTGTTTGAAATATTAGATATATGCTTAGTTTTAAAATACGTTTTGGTTTCATCTGATAGAAGATATATTTTTGTTTTGTATTTATCAATTATATTTTGTTTCCATAATGTGCAATAAGTTAAAAGTTTTGGTAAAATAAAGCTAATTTTTATAGTAATATTTTGTTTTTTCTTTTAGTTATTTCGAAATATGCCAATATACCAAATTCAATTTTAAACATTTTAACACTAAATATAAATGAAATAAACAGTTTATTGAACAGTTTATTTGAAATAAATCTTCTTCTTCTTAAGGTTCCATCTTCTAACGAAGGTTGGATATCAACATGGCAATTCTTATTTTACTTACAGCAGCTCTAAATAGTTGGCTAGAGCTCAGACTAAACCATTCCCTTAGATTTCGTAGCCAGGAGGTTCGTCTTCTTCCTACATCTCTTTGAAATAAATAATTACACCAATTTTAATTATACAGGAAATATGAACAATAATGTTACAGCTTAGGATATATAAAAACTCAAGAGCAATTTTTTTCAAACAGTTGACTAGAATGAACACAAGTGATCATTTCATTTTATCAGTGGTGCATTCTTTTTACGGGAATACACAAAATTTTAGATTTTCTTTCTAATGAAAAATTTTGTTTCTGATTGACTTCTTTTAAATAAATTTAACTGAAAGGGAAGTACAACTAAATGAATGTTTTTGGCAAAAATGAAATCAAGCGTTTAATGACAAAACGGTTGTTTTCATAACATTGCAATGTATTGGAAAAGTTTGGTGTTGTGATTTTGAGAGCATTAATAAACATAAAGACAGACTTAAGTGTTAACGTTGTATCCTTTTACTCAATCAAAATTAATAAACAAAGCAACTTTTAAACAAAGCTAGTTGACTTTAAATCGTATGCATATACGACTAATAATAATATCAGTGCCTGGATACATTAAAACAAAAACTTTCCGTTTACTCAGGCTGACGAAGGAGATACAAAATTAGTAACAAACAAAAATCTGACAATGCGCTTTTTGAGAATGCCGAGAAGGCGTTCTACTGAAACTCAATTCTGATGCAGAAAATGCCAATAAATCTTATCCGAGCCGAGAAGAAATCCATGAGTTTTGGGGAAATCAATTTTCCACACGTATTTTCCATAACTGCTAACACTACGTTACTGCTTCCTACGAACTCTTCACTATTGAAGAAGTTTCAAATATTATCACAGAGGAAATCTCCTGGACCAGATGGCATTCGGAACTTCTGGCTTAAGAAGTTCTGGAGTATTCATGAGTGCTTATCAGCAATAATTAATCACACTATTTCTAATACTTAGGAAATACCATCTTTCCTAACCTAGGAAACAACTTTTTTAATACCAAAAGATCAAAATACCACCCAAGATCAAATTAAGTACCACCTAATTACTTGTCTTCCAACTCTGTATAAATTGGTCACATCCTACGTAGCCCGGCGTATCAACCAACACTGTGCTCTAAACAATATAGAGCCTCAACAGAAAGGATGCGCTAAGGGTTCCATGGGCTACAGAGAACAACTTATCGACTCTGTCATTTCTAACCAAGCATATAGCAGAAAACGGAATCTCTTTACAGCTTTCATCGCTACAAGAAAGCGTTTGATTTATTGCCACATGAATGGCCTTATAGATATATTAAAAAATATATAAAGTCGATGATAACATAGTGACCTTTCTAAAACATCTAATGTCAGATTGGAAGACAAAAATTCACCTCCAAATACCTGGTGAAATCAATATTGAAACTGAAAATATTGCAATCAACCGGGGCCTATTTCAAGGAGATTCGTTGAGACCACTGTGGTTTTGTCTAGCGATGAACCCCCTATTCCAACTACTGAACTCAACTGAAGAATAAGAAGGAACACGAATATTACGACGGCGATGGTTGCTCAGGGTGGTTGCTATCTGGTGCTCAGGGTAGACCTCTCTCCAGTAGTTTTATATTAATTTTTTATTTAAAATTTTTATAAAAGTTTGGGATCTACTAAGAATTAAATTTATTGAATTTAAAATTTTAATAAACACAAAATTTTTTTTTATTGGGTAAAGAATATGATTAACAAATAATCGTATCAT